ACTGTTTTTTTACTTGGACTTGTTCAGGAACATACAGAAGACTAGTTATATACTTTTAGCTGTAGTCATACTGAATGTATTCACTGCAGTAGATTGAAATATATTGTTGTGAAGGAGATGACTGGAGCATGTTTTATATGTGCTTTCATTCAGTTCCCACTGATACCAGTGGAAGTGTTTACCCTTGGGTTTTAGCAGGCTCTTAACTAATAGGTTTCAATTGTAACAGCTGAGCTAGAAGAGTTGTTCAGTGCTGTGAATGTAAAGGGGAATACTGTATCTCTGACAGAGTAAAGGATGCTGGTTTATCTCAGTGTTATCTTTTCTTCTCATTAAGTGTCCCTCTGTTTGCAGATTTATGTAACATATTTGCTTTCCTCATTCATTAAGCACCAAATAGAAACAAATTTGCCAATTACTGCCAGTGTCAAATCTATGTAGTTCCAGTGTTGTATTTTTTTGAGTTCCAAAGCTGTTTTTTTCTTGCTTATTGCCACCATATTTGGAAAAGAGGCAGGGCTGTGTGTGAAGAGGTCATACCCGTGCTTCAGAAATGTAATTTCATTTTTCTTTCTCATTCTTTGTTGCCTTCAAAGTATATATTGCTCTGGAATAAAGCTGAACAGAGGTTGAAAAATGGCAGTCCAAACATAATCTTAATAACACTTTGAAAAAATGTTGTCACCTGTCTTGTGAGGAGCATAATGGCTCTGCGCATGTCATGAAAATTGGTAATTACTTTTTCTTTGGACTGCCAGATTTACTAATACTACATTTGTGGGTTTATTTTTACTCTCATGTCATATGCGATTTTTTTATTTTCATGCTAATTTCTTTAATTTGATTTCTACATTTTTTTCATATATGTGCTTGTCGTGGTTTTAAACTAGTAATTAAAAAAATTACTTATTTCTTGTTGTGAGATATGGATTAAAACAAGAGCAAAACAGGTTTAAAACTTAAAAGGAATAAAGACAGTTTATTAACAAACTACAAGAATAAGAACACCAGAATAAACTTTCAGAAAACCCCCTTATCTTCCACATCTTAACTATTTCTCTGTACACATGACAACATAGAGACAAATAAATTTAGGACTTTGGTGGTTAAAAACAGTCTTAATTCTTGCTACAGTCTTTTCATCAGTCTTTGTAGAGAAACAGAAGTCTCTTTCTGTTAATTTATGGAGTTTCTCACGAGAAAACTATTTTTTGTCATAGTTTTCTATTTCTCTAATGCCAGCTGCCCAGAAATCTGTCATTAGATCTTCTCCTCCCATTTCACATCTCTCCGAGGTGTGTATGGATCACTGAGCTTAGGGATTTTATTTTTAAGGATAAGTCATTCAAAGGCGTAAGTTTTCTTCATCTGTCTCTGTGAGCCGTCCTGGAAAACAGTTTTCTCTTTGCCCCCAAAGCTTCAAAATCTTCACTCAACTCAATTCCAGCAACTCACAGTATCACAAGTACTCTCTCTCTTTTGCTCAAAAGTTACACTTTGAATATCTTATTCCTCCCAATACTCTTATCATGAATTAAAGGAGTCCTTTTATACTATTATTGTCCATCTCCATAGCTTTAACAGAAAGATATTTCAGCTGTAAAGCATCTCCTTATTCTCTCTTTCTTATTTAAACTTAACTCTTTTCTTCACTGTTTTTGGTGGTTCTATGATGTCTTCTCTATGTTGATTGTCTCTCTCTTTCTCTGTCTTTCTGAGAAAAGGAGTAATCTGTATGTTTATCCAGGTAGTAAAAGAATTAAAAGCTTTAGGAAACCTGCAAGAGTTCATGGTGTTAAGTTTCAGTCTAGCAGCAAAAACTGAAAACCAAGCTCGGCTGACCAGCGCTGCTTCTCTTCCCCCTCCCCGCCTCCACCCCGCGGCCTCGTCAGCCTGGAGAGGGGGGGAGGATGCCGAGACAGAGCCTTGTTACCTCCTCAGAAGCCAGAAACCAAAGAGAATAAGAGAATTCTGTCTGTACTTCTTAAGGGGGTGTTTACAAGTTGAATTCACTTTTTAATGGTCAGATCTGCTGTCAATTCTTGGAAATGACTGATAATTGGTCAGGAGGAAAAACTCCCATCAGCCACCAGCAGCTTCAACTTCCCCTCTTTCTAAGCTGTCTTAAAGGTAAAGCTACCCCATGACAGTGCTTTCTGAATGAGTTCTCACATGCTAGAAATACATGCTTTAAAATGTTAAACTGTTGGATTTGTAAAACTAAACGTAGTCCTACAAGTTATGCTGAAGTGAGCCATCTAGGTAGGAATAGCTCTTATTGCTCTCTGAGTGCTAGTCTGACACTTAGCCCAGGATTATTTATGTAGTCACAGTCAATCTATGCTGTCCATTTTTCCAGTTTATGTTGCTAAGGTGTTTTTATTGTCTCTTGCACACAACTTTTCTTGTTTAACTTTCTTCTGGCTTTACAAAGCTAAAAATGTTTCAATTGGTTATTGGCAGCCACAGGAAATTGAAAAATGTATACTAATTAGCTCTGCCTCTTGATCATTCACATGAATGTAGACATTTTAGTCTCCCTAACACTTAGTGGGTCAATTTTTCTAATTTCACAATGAATATATTGTGTAGAAGTGTTGTGCTCTACTGAATAGGATAAAAATCTAATTTTCTAAGAAGAAAAAGGTAAGAGAATTGTTGAGTGTCTGTTTTTCT